TGATGCCCTTGTTTCGCTCATCCCAAACATGTTATTCAGTTTGGGAAAAGGCTCGTGCTTTATATACTAATGATATATCTCGATTCTATGATGTGATATCTAGAATGACTAGCTTAAAGAAACAAGAATCTGATATGTCTACTTACTTGGGTCAGGTACAATCAGTCATGGAGGAATTTGACACGTTGATGCCAATCACTACAAATGTGGACAAACAACAAGAACATAGACAGACGTTGTTTCTAGTTCTTACACTAGTTGGACTCTCTACTGACCATGATTCAGTGCGTGATCAGATTTTAGCTAGTCCTACAATTCCTACAGTTGATGAATTATTCTCTCATCTACATTGTATTGTCGCGCCTCCCAGCCACAAAGTAGTTTCATCACCGACCTTTGATTCCTTTGCTCTCGCATCTCAAACCATAGAAAAACGAGTATATCAATCTATGGAGAATCGACGAGGAGGAGGTCGTCTTGGAAAACCTCGATCCAAGTGTAGTTATTGTCATAAGTCTGGACACACTCGTGACATATGTCATAATTTGCATGGTCCACCACCCAGTTATGATCCTGCTACTCTAAAGGAATATAATGAGTTCCTTCGTAATCGTGCAAGTAAGCATACATCTTCACAAGAAGCATTTGTTGCTCCGCCTGATCGATCATCCCATAATGCTCATATTGCTCAATCACAATATGATGAGTTCCTTCAATATCGAGCAAGTAAGCAAACGTCTCCATAAGTAGCTTCGGTTGTTCAACATGATGTTGTTGCGGGTAATTCTTTTGCTTGTGTTTCACAGTCTAATACTCATGGATCATGGGTCATGGACTCGAGCGCTTCTGATCATGTTTCTGGTAACAAATCACTTCTGTCAGATATTGTTTATTCACAATCTCTTCCTGCTATTACTTTGGCCAATGGGATACAAACAAAACCAAAAGGGGTTGGAAAAGCCACACCCTTATCTTCTGTCACTCTAGACTCTGTTCTTTATGTCCCTGGTTCCCTTTTTAATCTAGCATCTGTTAGTCATTTGACACGTGCCCTACATTGTGGCATAACCTTCTTTGATGATTTTTTTCTCATGCAGAACCGCAGTACGGGACAGACGATTGGCACAGGACATGAATCACAAGACCTTTACTATCTTACCTCTTCAAATTCCTTCACAGCATGCTCTGTTACAGATCCTCCGGACCTCATTCACAAACGTTTGGGACATCCGAGTCTATCTAAACTGCAACAGCTGGTGCCTAGTTTATCTAGTTTGTCCAAATTTGATTGTGAGTCGTGTCAACTTGGGAAACACACTCGTGCCACATTTTCACATGGTACTGAGAGTCGTTCAGAGTCTATTTTTTCATTAGTTCATTCTGATGTTTAGGGTCCTAGTAGAGTCAGTTCCACCTTAGGATTTCGTCATTTTGTTAGTTTCATTGATGATTATTCAAGATGTACTTGGGTTTTCTTAATGAAAAATCGTTCTGAGTTATTTTCTATATTCAAAAGTTTCTTTGCTGAAATAAAAAATCAGTTTGGTGTTTCTATTCGTACTTTTCGTAGTGATAATGCCTTAGAATACTTATCATCCCAGTTTCAGGAGTTTATGTCTCACCAAGGAATTATTCACCAAACATCTTGTCCATACACTCCTCAACAAAATGGTGTAGCGGAAAGAAAGAATAGGCATCTCATTGAGACTGCTCGCACTCTCCTCATTGAATCCCATGTTCCGTTGTGTTTTTGGGGTGATGCAGTCCTTTCATCTTGCTATTTAATTAATAGAATGCCCTCATCTTCTATTTCGAATCAGGTTCCACGTTCCATACTATATCCACAGTCACATCTCTATTCTATCCCTCCTCGTGTATTTGGGAGCACATGCTTTGTTCATAACTTATCCCCAGGAAAAGATAAATTAGCCCCTCGTGCTCTTAAATGTGTCTTTCTTGGTTACTCTCGAGTTCAAAAAGGGTATCGTTGCTATTCACATGATCTCCGCCGATATTTTATGTCGGCCGATGTAACATTCTTTGAATCTCAACCTTACTACACATCTTCTGATCATCTTGATATCTCTGAGGTCTTACCCATACCTCAGGTCTTACCTGTACCGACTTTTGAGGGACCTACGATATCTTCTCCATCTCCAGTTATAGTGCCACCACTCCTAACTTATCATCGATGTCCTCGTCCAGCAATAGTCTCAAATGATTCATGTCATGCGCCGGACCCTGCTCCTACTGTGGCCTTGCCCCCTGCTAGCCAATCGATTGCACTTCAAAAAGGTATACGATCTACTCGAAATACTAATCCCCATTATACTTTCTTGAGTTATCATCGTTTATCTTCACCCCATTATGCCTTTGTATCATCTTTGTCCTCTATTTCCATCCCTAAGACTACAGGAGAAGCACTTTCTCATTCTGGATGGAGGCAGGCTATGATTGATGAGATGTCTGCTTTACATTCGACTGGTACTTGGGAGCTTGACTCCCTTCCTACAGGTAAGTCTACTGTTGGTTGTCGTTGGGTTTATGTGGTCAAAATTGGTCCAGATGGTCAAGTCGATCGGCTTAAGGCTCGCCTTGTTGCTAAAGGGTATACTCAGATATTTGGGCTAGATTATAGTGACACTTTCGCTCCTGTGGCCAAAATAGCATCAATCCGTCTTTTTCTATCTATGGCGGCCGTTCGTCATTGGCCTCTTCATCAGTTGGACATTAAGAATGCTTTTCTGCATGGTGATCTTGAGGAAGAAGTCTATATGGAGCAACCATCTGGTTTTGTTGCTCAAGGGGAGTCTAGAAGCCTTGTATGTCGATTGCGTTGGTCACTATATGGTCTAAAACAGTCTCCTCGAGCTTGGTTTGGAAAGTTCAGCACAGTAATTCAGAAGTTTGGCATGACTCGTAGTGGCGCTGATCACTCTGTGTTTTATCGGCATTCAACACCAAATCTGTGTATTTATTTGGTTGTTTACGTTGATGATATCATTATCACCGGCAATGAGAATGAACTATTTTTCCACAATCAGCAGTGGTGCAAATCATACTGTGGCTACTAAGCTTTTGCAAAGTAATCTTATAGTGCCTGTTTAGATCAGTGTCATTAAAGGCGAGCGCCTTTCGCCTTTGGCGACAAGGCGAGGCGAGGCGACCTCTAAAAGGTGTGCCATGGCGATCAAAAGGCGACTGGCGACTGACGTGGTGATGCAATAGGCGTCGCCTTTTTGTTTTTTTTTGTTTTTAAAAGTCTAATTTAATAATTAAAAGCCAAAATTAGGGTTTTTTTTGGGTATTTTTGCAAACTCACATCAGATTAGGCGTCGCGACTGCTGCTCCTCCTCTTCTTCTCAGATTTCGCAAGTCGCGACCCCTAGAGATTTACGTGACCTTCGCGAATCGCGACGCTGCTGCTCAGGTACGACTTACGCGACTTTTGTTCAGGTACGACCCCTGGAGACTTACGCGAATCTCTGTTCTTCCCTTCTTTTCTTCTTCTTCTTTGTTTTTCAGCAGTACGACTATGCTGCTCTGTTTTTCAAACCTCTATTTTTAGTGGTAGACTGGTGGTGAAGTGTGAACTGAGTGCTCTGCTCTTCTGTTATGTTGTACTGCTCTGCTGCTCACTGTCTATATTTTTTTTTAAAATAATAATTTAATTCTTCTATAATTATTTCTTCCTTGGTTAATCTAGTTTTATACTAATTAATACTCCCTTCGTCCACAATTGTTTGTCAGGGTAAGGTCATGCACATCCCTCAAGGAAAATTTAATACAAGGTGTAATTTGACTAATATAACCCTACTATATCAAGAATACCAAAAGTCCACATAACTTTTCAATTGAACTACACAATCATTAAGGGCAGAATTGGAAAAAAGTGACTAATTATTTCTTGATTGTTTAAAGTGACAATTAATCTTGGACATCTATTTTTAGTATACCTGCCAAACAATTGTGGACGGAGGGAGTATAGTATTTTGAATTATTGGTTCATTCAAGTTCTAGACTTTTGATATCTACTATTAGGTTTTGAATTGAAATGTTTGCTAATATATGTTATTTCTATTAAGATTTTGGATATTTATATATGCAATTAAAAATTTTAATTTTTGATATTAATTGGCACCTTAATTCAAAAAGGCGAGCGCCTCGCCTCGTGGCGAGGCAGGCCCTTGTCGCCTTTCGCCGTCCAAAACACTAGTTCAGATTGCGTCATATATGAGGTCTCAAAAGGTACTCCAAAAGTCTATCTTAGGCATTTTCTGCAGAAAAGTGATTCTAGCTCAAAGGGCTTGAAAATGGGTAAGGATTTATAGCAAATTGGAATACGAAGTAGCAAAAATGAAGAGAGTAGTGGCCATATATAGTGCTGACAAACACTGCCAGGAAAATAGTACAGGTAACGAAGACATGTCCTATAATTATTGGGATACAGGAACAATGATTAGCCAACTGATCAAACTGAAAGGCTTTAGCATTTGAGCCTAATAGGAAAAAAAAAAAAAAGGAAGAAAGAGATAGAAAATGTCAGCATTACTCTTACCATCCAAGAAACATCACAAGTAAGATTAGAACTAGAGCTTTTATTTTTCTTTTGGGATAAATAAAAAAAATCCTTCTTCTTTTTAATCAGGAAGTCAAGAAGTTTGAGTTTCTTCATTTGAGAGCCCAAATCTCCGTGTTCATTTTTTTTTTAACGCTTTTAACTTACAAGCCAGTATGGAGTCAGGTCTTCCAGTGAAGTTGAAAGAATTCCACCATTCTCTAATTCCATCAGTGGATCCTTCTGAACCTAGCCACCAATTTTCAAACTTGAAATAATTTTTGTTCATGTTCCATGAACCAGCTTGCAATGCTAGTAAGTGTGATCCAACAAAATCCTGTCAATCCTAGAGGCTATTACTTGGTTGTCCCTTTTATACCAGGTGAAAATGGCATCCTCCGGTTGAAGATTAATAAGTTTCTTTCTTACTGTATTACTGAATATAAAATCCTTGCCAACCTGAGTTTAAAAATCAATGAGAAAATACTAGCTTGTCCACTAAGCTACTTTAATATCCAGGAGAAACCAAGCTATTTTTTGGGATAATCAAGAAATCCCCGAGGGCCACTGGTGCACAGTTCAAAGTTCGATGCTGATGCGCCACCCAGTTTTAAAAAATCAACTTGCTTTGCCACTAAAGAAAAGCAAGAACCACAAGTATGAAATTTTGTAAATTTTCTTTTCCCCGAGCGCGCCACATTTTTGGCGAAGGTTATCAATAGAAATGTAAAAAGAGTATAAAGACAACAAGCCAGGAACAAAGTATTACCTCAGCCACAATTTCATCTTTTCCAATAGGTTCCTGAATGAAAGTCCTACCATTGTCATCTTTCGCCAATGGTTTCTTCGCGAGCTTTCTTAGCACCTGAAAAGAAATTTGCAGTTCAGATAAATGGCATAGAAGCAAATAACTATGATAGCCCAATTACCAAAGGTATCTGAGACAGTTAAAAAGAGCCAAGGGGTAACTCTTGAATCTTGAAAACGCTATCAGTATAGCATGATCCTGTCACTTCTACAATAACTATATACCAGTTAGGTTGTCAATATCAACAGTTTGTGTGAGCTAAAGGATGATCAGATAGTTTTACTTTCCTTTTCGATATTCTCTTTCAGAAGAAATAGCAGGGATAACTCAGGATAGTAAAAAGTTCATGATGAGTAAACGAGAGACATGATATAAGAATACTGACAATCATTAATGAAGATCTGTTTCAAAATTCCAAAGAGCTTTAGCATAAGATACTGACCAGCATAGTTCTATCCAGGCGGTTTGCTGCCATCTGGTATTCTTTCATCTTATCTTCCTTGGTAGCTGGAACTATTTTAACCTCTTCAACTTCCTCACGTTGGTAAATCTGGCAGAGAGGCAGCATATTTGAAACACTAAGAAGATGAATACATCATTTCACAAGAATGTGATCAGTATAAAAAAGAAATAATGGAGAAAACTAATGTCATTTTACTTTATTCACAAATGGCCCCATTTACAATGTGAAGGCCAAACGGCCAAATGAATAGAATGCATTGTTGAATGTAAACATGCCAGGGTATACCACATACTCAACAGAGGAAAATTAGCATATTTGTCCCAACATACTACGCCTTTTTAAATGTAGATACACTAAGATATTTGTTTATTCTGTGACATAAAAAGTGAAAAATATGCAGAGGAAGAAAGAAAAGAATCCACTTCCTTCCTTACTATGGTATGCCCAAAAATAAAAGTGCAACACATCAAAGTGCATTGACACAAATTATCAGTGACCTCTAACATAATATTTGTGAGCCTTATGTGCATGATTTGTTAGTCTTTTCAAAAGAAAGAATTGACCACATCAAAAATCTACAAAAGGTCTTCGAAAGGTTAAGGAAACACCAACTAAAGATGAAGCTGAAAAAATGTGCATTCGCAATCAGGCAGAACCGCAGAAGCCATAAATCATTAGCGCAATAGCATAGCTATTTCTTATACGATCCCTATTACTAAAGCCTACTCTTTCTTCGAGATATGTAACGAGCAGCCGAAAATGCTTGTCCCTATTGTATTTGAAAAAGACCCAATGCACAAGTGTTGCAGAGGTTTCTCCTTCTCAATGAGTATAATGGGAAAAGGGAAATTTAATGTCATTCAAATTCCTATTGGAAATGAATTGGTGACAAAAAGTATTGTCTCTGTTTTTTTTTTTTTTTGAGATTAAGAGTACTTTGTCTCTTTGGAGATGAGAAACTTGTATCGTTATACTTATATCAGTGTTATCCAAAGCGAAAAGTGCAAACAAGCTCTAGGGTCCATTGGCGCTTTAAGAGCAACGAAAATGTAGAAAATACAAGTATATATGTTTAGTCCAAGACTAATAATTATAAGCATGAATAAAAAATATATGGACAAATAAATTGAAAAAAATTATGATAAAGTGAAATATCAATAGATTAGTGTCGCCTCATTGGCAAGGAAAAGTATGTCTTAGAGCTTTGATGACAATACTGAAGCACACTATGTGCGAGGCGAAGCACTCAACACATTTAGAGCATCGTTGGAGCGGTTAAGCGCGCCTTTGACAACACTGGCTAATGATATAATAAGTATGACATGGGCGGAACAGCTTTACCTGCATTGCAATTGTACTCAAAGAAATGACGCACAAAAACAGGAGCAAATTTCAAGGCTACTAGATTCAGGAAAATTTTGTGCTCATTAAAGGGTATACCAAATTCCTGTCTAAGGTACATTAACATCTCATACACTCAAATTTTATTCAGGACAGGAGAATAAAAGAACCAACATATCAAATTTCTCACAATTACATAATTGTATTCAGAGCATTATCTATATTTAGAACCGAACACAGACAGTACAAATAAAAGGAAGAAAACCTTTCGTTGATCTTCCATGAGATGCCTGTACTTGTCAATATTGGGTACAGCCAGCAATTTGGGCATAAGATGGTTTCGAAAATATCCAGGTGCAACTCTCACAGTTTCCCCTGCTTTTCCAAGCTTGTCTATGCCCTGCTTATCAAAACGCAATATTGAACAAGAATCAGGTCGTAATTGCAAAAGGGTCAGCCAGAATTGTTAAAATTGCTGAAGGGTCAGTTCCAAATAAAACAATCAAATAGTAAAAAAAACCCATAAATATCGATAAACAAAAGAGAGAATCTGGAAGCCATTGGTACATTGTCTGTGCAAATTGTAGTAAACGATAAAGGGTCAATTGGATGAATGAATTAGTAAAATTACTTACAGTAGTGAGAATGACTTGTAGTTTTCTGTATCGAACACCTTGGGCGGCGTAAAATAGTGGATGGTGTAAATGTACTTCTCCACCTTGGCACTTCTGGAAGATAGCTGCTGAGGTTTTCACATTCTTCAGCTGTTGCCGGAGAGTAATCCTACCGTATTGCAGGCAAGCCATTTCTCACTCTTCTGTGGTGACGGCGGACGGCGAACGAAGAGGTACTTGACGGCGAAAGGAATTGAAGTCGGGTTCTTTCCACCTTTGCCCCTTTCTTCTCGTTTTCTTTTTTGTGATGTGATTATGCAAATGTTTGTACAAAATAAAATACACGCAAAATTAATAATCTCCTCTTTACATTGATGTCTTTTAAGGTCGAAAAATGGAAATATGTAAGTACACACTTATTTTTTTAGATGCATTTTTTAAAATGACTTTTTTTAAAAGAAAAATATTTTTTGAAAAAATACAATTTGTGTTTGGTTAATCATTTAAAAAATTGTTTTTGATAATCAAATTGTGTTTGGCTAATCTTTTTTAAAAAGTACTTTTGAGAGTCAAATTAATATCAATGTAATTTTAATATTAAGATTATTTTATAAAGAGCAACTATTTTAAATAATTATTACAAATTTTTAAATTAAAATGCACATGTTTAAATATTCAATCAATATTATACATACATAAATTAATTAATTAATTAAATATTAATATAATATTAACATGATGACCGAATTTGTCTTTTGATTTAAAAATGGTCTAAAACCTCCCCAATCTATATCTGAAATCTCAACTACACAGTATATTTCATGGGATTCCTATCACCCCTTAAACTATTTTAAAACGAAATTATTTGCTCCCTAAATGTTGAGGTGGCAAAGAAGGTGTAGTTCACACTCTTTGAGAGAGTGAAAGGCCAAAAAAAACTAATTAAAACTTTAATATTTTTCTTATTTCATATTCATTTTTCACTTTTTAAAAAAAACTTTTATGTTTCCTTTTATTTATTTGTTACTTTTTACGTTTTTTTCTTCATTATTCTTCTCTTTAACAGATCGGCAACAACACCTGCGGTGATGGCATCTTTGATCCACCAGGTGAGCTTGGCTCCTCCACTACCAGGTCTCCACGCCCATGGTTCTTCCATCACTAAGCTCCCTCTCATTTTCAAATCACACACTTCTCACAGTAGCTTTACTAAAAATCCATTGGAAATAATCTTTGTTATTCCACCATGTGAGAACAAACTCATCAACAACCAGTTCCAATATAAACCACCACTTAAATCACCATCGCCACATAATATGTTTTCATAGCTCCAAGATAGGGGATGCAAATTCAAGCTTAAACACAAAATTTAAAAGTCAGATGCATTCTTATCTTTTTTCAGATCTAAAAAGAATTTGGTTATCAAATCTACAATGAACATTATATTATACAAAAATCATACTAAATCTTCATTTTTCAACATTCCTACTAAACTAACTATAGCTAAAAACTTAAACCCTAAAATGGATTAAAAAAAAGAATTTTTGGGCATTGAATTGTTAGAGATTTTGGGTGAAAATTTCATCAATCAAAAGAGAAAAAAACAGAAGATTATGCAAAATTAGAGAATTTGAGGTTTGAATCAGCGGTTATTATAAGAAAATTGAAAATCTTCGAAGATTGAATTGAGAGGAATTTGGAAGAAAACTGATGAAAAATAATTTAGCATCAGGTTGATGATGCTATGGCGGTAGAATAAAGAAAATAAAAATTAATTTTTTTTATATTAAAAAAGGTGATGTGATGTGGCAGGAGCGTGCAGATCACTACTCAATACAAATTTGGTTATGACTTTTTAAGGGATATATATTTCAGTTTTAAAATGTTAAGGCGGTGATAGGACACCCGTGAAGTTGGAGTGTGTTGTTGGGATTTCAAATATAGATTGAAGGGGGGGAGGGGGGTTAGACCATTTTCTAAAAAAAAACATGATGATTTAAATATAATTAAAATTATTAAGCAAAATAAATTTAAAAACAATTCCACAATTAAACCACTATATACGAAAAAATCGCCACAAAAAGAAATAAAGTCCTTCATATTTTAATCCTACAAAAATATTGGTGTTACCTTTATTTCTAATTTTGTAAAATAAAATGTAAAATAATATATAAATATAAAATAAAAATATATAAACATAAAATTAAAAAAAAATTATTATATAGAAATAAAAAATAAAAAATATTTTTTTTGAATGAAACTTAACCAAACTTCTGAGATACGTTAATTAATTAATAGGGGATATATTGATATATATATATATATATATATATATATATATTTGTCTTAAAAAAATAATTTTATGCTTATGCTTTTTTCAAGCAGCAGAAATTTTTAACTTCATTTCCAACAGCAAAAAAAAAACTGTTTTTGCTTCTATTTAAAAGCAGATTTAAGGATTCACCAAACACTTAATTTTTCAAAAATATGTGTTTTTTTCTCAAAAAAAAGATACTTTCGGCCTTCTAACAACAATCCAATCAGGCTCTAAAACTAGTATAAGAGCTCTTGTGCTGAGCACAGGCCCAACGCTGCAAGTTAGTCATTTCAATTCATATTAACAAGAATGGAAAACATCTTTTGATCAATGCTAGATGAACTCCAAAATATAAATTAACAGTTTGGTATCTCAATTACCGACAAATGAGATGAATGAGATGCATCAATTGATTCTACACAGTCTTCTTCATTTATCATTTTTCCATGATTTTTTACCGAACTTGATTACCGTTTTGACAAAGAATATATATACTGCACATTACGATATATTTCTTTATCATCTCTATTACGACCTTGAGGTAAAACAAATTTAATATAAATTAATGTCAGCTTTGAGATAATTGATGAGTCCTAGATTTTGACTCATAAATTTAGGTCTAGATTTTGACTCATAAATTTAGGGCTTGATTTTCATGGTTTATTGTCCTCAAATGCCTAATTTATTCTCTAAACTGATGTTAAAATGTTGATTTGCAGCAATGAAGGCAAAGGAGCAAGGCAAGGACACTATCGGGCAGAAAAGAACTAAAAAGATGAAGATATCAAAAGTTGAGAATCACCAAAGTCACTCGGCAAATCGCCGAGTGACACTTCAGCTCACCTAAAGTTCCAGACTGCCAGCCCTGGGGAGAAGCTAACTTGGTGATGGATTTGGACCTTCGGCGAACCGCCGCTCGGATTGGTTACAAATTCTGGATAGCCTAAAATTACAGAGCCTTGAGGATAAAAAGTCAAAGCAGACCGATGATGGAAAGAAGTGATTGGCGCATCACCGACCTGATCGGACACACCCGACTTACCTCGCCTAATGGTCCTTGCAGCCAAAATTTGGGAAACTATAAATTGAATTTTAAAAGAGTTCAAAAGAATCTTGATTTTATTTTTCTAAGTCCAATTTTAGTTTTCTTCCGTTTTGAGTATTGTTATCCATTGGAGAACAACTTGGAAGGGTTTCTCAAGTATATTCGAAGTGGGTCTTTGATTTTGAGCTTTTTGGACCATTTTAAAGACTTGGATTACAATACCCAGATCATGGAGAATGTTTTTGGTATTGATTTCTATCTTTTTATTATGCTTGTCTTAAACCTCAATTCTTGGGGTGTGATCATGTGATTATTTCCTAATTAGCTTATGGGTTTTATTGTTTAATAATTTAAATATTGTTTTAATATGGGTTTGATCAATAATTGGGTAGTAATTTATGAATTGTAATTTAAACCGTAATAGTTGTTCGAAAGAAAGCAATTGCTCTTATAGTCTAGCCTACCCACAGTAGCACTATTATGCCATCGCAGAACGAGTCCATCCTCCGACACTCGAAGGTCGCCTGTCTAGGGTTAATCATAGATCGCCAGAGGCTGAACTTGGGGCTGTTGATCGAGCAAGAGATGGCCATAAGGGCCAAACAGAGCCAGACCTCACTCCCATTTTTGGTGCTGATCACTGAGCTATGCAGACGGGCTCGTGTTCTGAGAGATGAGAAGACAGATGTGGAGGTGACACCCCCCCTTTTATTGACATCCAGGGTATTGAGGTCAAGTACATGCAAGATGAGGCTGACAGGAAGAGGGTAGCATCGTGGATACATCCCCGAAAGCCGACGTTGATATGTTGCCGACAGAGGCAATCTTGCCCCCTCAGACCAGTGGGTCCCAGGTACATCTGGACCTTCTATTTCTGAGACCCCTAGTACTTATGTTGCACCCCCTCCCACTAGTTCTACTATTGTTGCTGCCTTCAGACCCCCTATCACCCAGGCCATATTGTACAAGATGGGCCATCTGGTCCAATCTGTTAATGTATGTGCCTCCCGGGTAGAGGCCGTTTTGCCTGGATTGATAGAGCGGGCAATTACTGCCGCCCTATCTCCTATTAGAGCCGAGTTGAGGGAGCACAAATTGATGATTGAGAGACGCAAGCTGGCATTGAATGCCCTTACTGTGAGGGTTGAGGAGTGTGACAAGAGCCAATGGGCTACTGTTGCTTGCTGTGACGGCCTTGAAAGTCGATGTTGTTAGACTATGCAGAGATATGGACGAGCTGAAGTACACTGATTTATCGATGTTGTTTGGGACTATGAAGATTCCTAAGATGTTGAGTGTTGATGTTCCGGCTAGTTCTAAGGTTCCTTCGGCTATTACCGGAGATGAGATTAGAGTTGATGATGTTGATGTTGAGTCCGAGGTAGAGGAAGATGAGGAGCATCTCGGTGTTCGAGATGAGGTTGTCTTTGATGACTTGGCAGACATAGATGGAGCCATGGTGGACACAGGTGTACAAGACTCTTGAGGGATGTTTCTATGGTGGGCTCCAATGGAGCCAACTATGTTGATATGCCGGGCACTGATGCCCAGACAGAGGGAGTTACCGACATGCAGACTTCACCCCAGGCCTAGACTGGCAAAATGACTCTTTGCGTCCCTTTTTGTTATTTTAAAACTATTTTTAGTATCTCTTTGCATTTGAGGACAACTGCTATTTTTGTTGGCGGGGTGAGGTATTTCCATATCCACCTCTTTTGGGTTGTTTTTGTTTTGTGAATATTGTGTTTTTGGGTTTTGTGAATGTTGGATCTGATTTGACTTGAATAGTGATCTTGTTTGAACGACATGTGTGTGCAAATCCTATGAGGCGAATTGAGTTGCATAAGTCATATATGAACTCATATCATCTTATTGTGACTATGTGATTTGTTGAGTGGAACTCTTGTGATGACCATTGCACGTTTGCAAAAATGGTTA